TCATCTCTTGCCAACAGAAACGAAGAATGAGAATGTCAAACATCATTGATGGCACAAAAATGGTGCTAGATCTGTCACATTGAATTTCAAGTTTGCCAGCTCTCGTTTCGACATTCCGTTTCTCATTCTGTCTGTCGTTCTCTTTTTCGCATATTTTACCAAGTCAAACGCATGTTTCATCTAATTTGAGTACGAATTTGCTCCCTCTATTCATCCCAAGATCACATCTATTTATCTTGTTTCCGAGACGACATTGAAAATAAAAGATGCCCTAAAATAGTTTTTTTTTTCGTCGTTGAAAATGACGATGGTTCATGTGACAAAGAACACATCTATATATTTAAACACTGAGCATGCCAATTGTCTATTCTCCACTTACACAAAGTCAAACCCTGCACTAACCAAATTGTTGAATAGTTTGTGAAGTGAGTTTATTTCATTGTGGCTCCTTAATTTATTTTCTTTAAGCATTTGGGGCTTTTTATCAGGCATTCATTCGGTTTGCTTGCCTTTGTGTTTGATAATGGGCGTGAAGTTTCGAATTAAAGGAACACTTTTACACGTGTGACCAGAAGTTCGTTAGTCAAAGCAACAGCAGCCACAGCAGCTCATCAGCTACAGTGAGCTGATTTAAGTGAATTCATTTGGTTGGAATGGCGATGCGGAGAACACGAAAAACAAATGTACAAATGAATTGGAATGGTGATGCTTAGTGCAGAGATCACGCAATCTTAAGTTGAGACCTTGACTATTGCCTGTTTCCTTTTTCTTCAAGAGATGCAGAGATAGCCAATAGATAAAATGAAAAGTTGACTATTAAGTGGCGGCGTTACGAGGCCTATGATACGCATCTCAAAACCCGACCGCTTGGTTCGTTCGCTTGAAAATCTCGTGCCTTGTCATTTTTATTCACTCGAGCTGGGCTCGATTTTGTATGTGGGAATTTGTGTCGAGAATCATCCATTCGACATTTCGAATGCAAACACACGCTCTCTCTAAAATGGATAAAAGTCCATATTGAAACTGGGCTCGTTCATTTTTTTCCTGTCTAGTGCTTTGAATCACCGTTTAAATGAAAACGAATGTATGTGATTAATTATGACTAGTTGGGCAAGCACGTTTCTATGGCGCTAATTTATTTTTCATGATTAGTAAAGTTTTTTGCCATTTACTTAATTTATAACATGACGCCTTCTCGAGCTAGCAGATTCGGCGAATGGCCGAATAAATAGTGGTTCTGTGTGCGCCACACTATGTTCACTAATTTCGATTCATTGCATACTGTCGTTCACGTTCAATTTCTGCTTCATGCCCATCGGAAGTGGTTTCCATTGACGTGCACTGCTCACGAAGTGCTTCGAATTCTTCTTGTTCGAGTTTTTTCATTAGACCGAACCACATGTTCTATTGGCGTTTAAACGGTATGTCCGTAAAATTTATGTGACCAATTTGCGTTTGTTCGCACTCACAACATTCTTCCTCATCACAGAACAAATCGATGGAATTTTGTCATGGTGCCATGGTATATCAAGCGCAATATTTTCCAGTTGGAGTCATCTCAATACGAATCCATTCACATCACATGTTCAGTTTCTTTCTCTCTGGTCTACCCTCTCGGCAATTCAATCGTACTAGATTAAAAGAACTGTGTTGAGGCTTATTCACTGAAATATATTCAAATAAATTCGCATATCGACAGTCCCGACCCAGAGGCGCTCTCTCGGTGATTTTGTCGATGTCATTTATTGTAACGGCGACCATTGAATCGCTGACCGAGGGAACGGAACACAGAAACAATGGTCAAAAGTCAAGCCGAAATGATTTCATAAGCAATTCCATGAAACAGCTCCGAATTCACCGACAGCTGCTTGATTTATGATTGTTCTTGGGCCGGAAAACTTTTCGATTTATCAAATGAACAAGCTTGGAACATTTTCACATCGTTCAATTGTATCTCATACTCACAATCAAATGCTGATTTAATAAAATGTTTTGGTTTCCTTATTTTAATTCTGGACTACATCGAACTATGTTACATCACAGAAAAAAAATTCCTTCCTTTCAACTTGGCATTCACATATGGGCAATGATCGAAGGACGGTAACATTACATTTTGCACGCCCTTTTTGCTCATATCTCTCTAGAAATCATAATACAAAGAATATACGCTTTTTTGTTTAAAAAATCAGTTGTTCTGATGAACATGAATCCATCTTGAAATAAAAAGCACTCTTTGCACACAATTCCCAACTTCATTCATAGAACCGAATGAAAGAGATGTCGGTGACTGATGTGTGTTTCAATTTGTTTTACGTTTGACGTAATCTTTTTACTGCAACTCATAAAATGTATTAGACGGAAGAGATTTCAGGAGCAGATTCCAGTGATTATTGTTATGGTTGATTCGGCAAATCGACCTTTTCATTCGATGCCTTTGCAGTACCTACTGAAAGAAGAGGAAAAAAAGACAGAATAAAAAAAGAACACGAGTAAAACTGTGGCGATCAACGACACAACGAAAGAAATAACCATTAAACAGTATAACCAAATAAACCCAAAAGCAAATTGACCAAATAAAGATCGTCGTTGGTGTGTATTTAACATACAAGCCAATAACAACAGCTTATTTTCCAGGCACACAAATCTATTGAAGCCTTGTCCGTTTTTCGGTGTTCAGGGCAGTTGTAAGCAACCGTGTGTGTGTGTGTGCAGTGTGCGCACAATTTTAACAATATAAGTGCCATACTATATGAACAAAATTAAGCTATAAATCTCTTTAACTTCGAACTATTACAATAAATATACCAAAAAAAAGAAGAGATGCGAAAGCGATTCGAAAGACGATGTGGAAAATAAGCGATTAGATCGAGCACTATCGGGAGCAGAAAAAAGGTCGAACATACATACGTCGAAGGAAAATACATTGTATATGTGTGTATGGGTGGTAAAAAGTGGTAGGCTTATTTTTGGGCCGCGATTTTTGGTCGGTGTTGTTGTTGTTTGTTGCCATTTGTATGCGAAAAACGATGGTATTATCGATTGTAACGAAAACACACAAAACTGATTTTCGAAAAGCCGCCACTGCCGATGACGACGACGACGTTTTTCCCTTTGGCGAGGGCTACAAAAACAGTTTATGAAATAAAAGAGTTGAAGTATTTACGATAAAGGGCAAACAATGCACTGAACAAGTGTTGGAAATTCATAGCCGAAAAAGGGAGAGATATTCGAGTGCAAGTAACGAATGAAAAAAAAACATTGATTTTCACAATATCTTACCAATTTTTTTCGGGTCACTTATCATCATAATAGGACCCGTTGTGAAAAATTACAAATTCTTCATCGCATTCTTTTGGTTCACATGGAAAAAAAGAGAGAAGGAAACAGCTTTAAAATTATCCAAAGATGGGGACAAATGTCGAACGAATCAGACGATGGCCGCGAAATTCTTGAACTTATAGGCTCGTCGCTTGTTTTTTTTGCTCGTTCATACTTTCCCAATTCGCCGACCCTCTTCTACAAGTTGCAGCATTTTTTTCTCGTTCGTTTGCCTGGGAGAGCACTCATAAATTGAATATATAAAAGACTTCATCGGAGAAAAACGTTGAAAAAAAAAACTTTTTGGTTTGTTGAACGTCCCTTAACTTTGAACTCTAATATTGATTGAATCCCGTTCTGAGTTGAACCGATCAAAAAAATCTACCCGCTGAGTGAGAATGGATAAAAAAACGCCGCCTGTATTTCTCTCACTCTCTGTGTATGAATCTAGTGTTCAGCCAACAGTTTTCAAAACGGAATGCGCTTTTATATTCAGTGAAACATTTCTATTTGTATTGCACTAGGTTCGACACATCACATATTTGAGTTACTTTAAAAGATGGATGTTTACACGTTCGCCATGTTGGGCAATCATTTAAGCATATTCCGGTGTAAAGCTGCTGCTGCTGCCACTGCTCTTTTTTCTTCATTTTCTCTCTCTCTCTCTCTCTCACTCCTTTTATTCTCATCGGTTCGATGCTTTTTTTGTTGGATGTGGCAGCAGCAGCCGCTGCCGCCATGTAATAGCCATTTTTAAACATCACACAATATTCAGTGGCATACACGAACGTCGTATACGTCAATCGCCATTTCGAACGGTCTGTTTGATCTTTTCACGGTGGCTGGCTTAGCATGACGATAATTTGTTTTAAAATAGGGCAAACCGTGGCTTGTTTTTGTGGCGATAAAACTGAACGTGCATACACTCTCTACACCATCCGAGCTCATAACTCGTAACAATTTCCGATTGCTCTTCTACCGCCGACCGATGGAACGACCAAACGATTCCAGCGAGAGCTTATTATTGTGCTTCTTCTTACTGTGCGAAGTATGAGTGCCTCTCCCTCTCTCCCTGTGTGTGCGATGCTGCTAAGAAGCGGCACGTTGCAAAAAAGGGGCAAAAACCATCACAGCACTTGTTATTCTCTCTTCAATGTGCAATTAATATAACAGCCCCACTTTGAACTCATGCGCGTGGTAGTCTTAAAATAGCACCCACCAGCATCGATCAAATTCACGACGGGAATGCATAGAAACGAGCTTAATAGAGGAAGACAAAGTTGAACAGATAAAAAGAGTCTAGTTGTTCGATAACTATATAGTTTGGTCGCTCTTTTTCTTCTTCATCTTTTTTTGTTCTACTTGCAAACGGTGTTTTTCGTTGTGATTCAGGTTTTTTTTTGTTTATCTTTGCCTGTCTCATCGTATATTCTTTGCTTAACTCGGCTACTATCTCCCACCATCCGGAATAGTTGATGGTTTTGTGTTGATGATTTGCTTTTGGTGAAATATCTTGTCGTCTGATGCAAGCGGATAGTTTGCATTCTCCATAAATCCATGGGGTAAACGTCATTAATGCGGAAAATCACTTAAATGGAAATTTTATTAATTAGACTCCGTCAATTTCATTGTGTTTTTTAATGCCCCTTTTTCTCTTCTCTCTTTTTCCCACCCAATTTTAGTGCTAATCTATTATTGCAGCCATTGGCCCAGCCACAAGTGAATGAAACCGATAATTTGCCATAAATTTTAATTACACGCTTTTTGAATGCAAATATTGTTGAACAATTATCGTTGATAAATTGATTTCGGGCATTCGAAGCGGACCGACACACAGCAACGGTAGCAGCTTTGCTGCGTGGGATTAAAACTTAAGTGCATCATTGGATACATTGGAAATAAACGAAATTCGATCGATTGATAATCACATTCGATACAATGAACAAAACGGATTTTTAATCTGCCAGCCGTCCGGGTGAGATTGCAAAAACACAAGCACACATGGTTCAACCGATTTACGGAGGAAATTGATGAACAAAATCGATAATAATAAATGATCAATCACGCACATACACACATGCCAGTGTGTTCAAACGATATATATTTATCATTGAAATCAGTGGTCCTGTGCACACAGCCCAGTGTGAGCAAGGGAGAAGAGACGTTCGTTGGGCTTTCGGAATAAATGACATTACCGAAAAAAATTGATTGTGCGTGTGTTTTATTTCTGGCAATTTGTAACCGATAATTTAATCTTGTGGTGCATAATTTGCGGTGAAAACGAAAAAAAAAAAACAGAATTGCCTCCAACAACGAACCGAACCAACAGCAACTGATAGCGAGAAAAAAACCGGCACGAGAAAATCTGAATGGAAAAAATTAGTTTCGTTTGTGCAAGCTAGAACTAGTGTGGGATTGTGAGGACAAACAACGGGTCTCGAGATATAAGTGGTGTATATTGGAGAGTTGGCACATTTCAAGCGGAAAAAAGCGTTTGTTTAAACAAATTGCCGAATAAGAAATAAAACTAAACAAACATAAATATCGGCGAAAAGTGAAAAAAATATATATAGGGAATTCGATCAAATGCAGACGCGCTGGGCGCATTTGTGAGCTGCTGCTCTTCGGTTGTGTTGTGTACGCGCTACGGTTATTGCGATGATAATGTGGTCAGTGTCAGTGGCGATGATAAACAATATTAATCTATCACTCAATCAAGCTTAACAGAAGGAACGACGGTAACAACAAAGTATTGCCTCAAATTCTGGTCACACACGCACCACCACCACCATCATCATCATCATCGACGCCAAGCGCAATATTCGACACGCTGTTTTTACCACACAACGCAGCTTACGAACAAACGAATGAGTGAGCGGTTTTTGTTAGTGGTAGCGCCAATCCGTATTTATTTATTTTAGTTGCGTTAGAACGATCTACACACATACCATTTTGCACAGACAAACCAGATTTTTGGCCGACCTAAATTTTCGGGCTTGGAATCAAACGCATCACATTTATTTTCGGCCAGCAAAAGCATTCGGCATTTTTTTTGCGCTCGCTCCACTGCTATTGATGTTGCTCGTTTAGGTTCATCGACGGTGCTGTTGGTGTCCACATGTTGAGCAACCATTGTGTTGCGTTCATTTAGTGGAAGGGTCAATATTAACGACATAGAGATTGAATGGTCGTTCATTTCATGTTCACAGGTTCACAGAATTTCCTTTGCGATCACATCCAGTGACCATCGACGAAATAGGCAAAGTGCGTGTGCGTGCGATGATTTTCATTAGGTTAGATGCTGACCGAATATCAATACGACATTTACATTTATTTGTGAATTTTATGCCGCTTTAACGTATATCCTACACACATTTGTTTACCAAACTATCGGAACGGAACATTCCCACCGGAATTCAAGGGAGAAAAAAACAGGAAAGAAGAAGAACATACCGCAAAGGAAATACTGAGTGCTACGTATCAACGGACTCGTAAATTGCCAAAATTTCGATTAGACAAAAAGAACACGAAGTGTCAATATTAGTGTAATTTGAGCAAATGTTCAAATCGTTTTATATAGACTTGATGATTGAAGCGAAAAACATTTGAATCGCACACGATTCGAGACAATCTATCGCTATTTGTTATAGTGTCTATAGCATTGTCAAACCTGTGATTTTTTTCATTTTTTTTTTCTGTCAGTGTTATCTTGAGTGGAAAACTATCCGAATGCAAATACATACATACACAATCATTTAAACAAAACAAAACCAAAATCAATCATGGCTGCAAATAACCAACTTCGACGAATCAACGACGACCATTCAACCGAACACAATATGGAACATGAGGAGGAAAAGCATTCAACACCACGATTGCTGTCATTCAAATCGAATCACAAGAACCGGAGGCACCCGCAACATCATCTCTATTGGCCATTGTCCTGGATTATTTTTATGGTTTCACTGTCATCCGTTTCTTCAGAAATGATTTATCGTGTGGATCCTTTAGGTAAATATTTGTTGTAACATCTCAATTTCTTAGATTTTTTTCCCACTTTTCCTTCTCCATATCTGAATATTCGCTTTGGTATAACATACAGTTTGGGTTTGTATAGATCCGGATTTGTGGCTGATACATATATATACAGTCAATACACACAACGAAAATTTGACAAAACGAATGAGACATTTGAATGGAACAATATTGTGGTATTAACACACGTCGACGCGATTTGCCATATTTCTCAACGCAAATAGAAAATATTACACATAGCACACAGATCGTTTTTGTGCTCGGCAAATTCTCATGCGAACAGCAACGATTTGGCAGATAGTAAATTATTATTATCGATATTTCACGTAGTAATCGGAATTTTGTGTTGTGGTCAGCTCAATTTTGGCACATCGACCGTTCCTCACACACTCCGTCTGCTATAAATGGTGCGAAATACATTTATTTCAGACCGAAAAAAGACATAAATTGTCTGTAAGACAATCGTTTATTATCGAATGGAATCGAAATGCCAAACGGACATCTTTTTTCTAATTGTTTTTTCCCCAAGCAATTCGAAGTAAGATCCGTTGAAAATTTATGGATTTTTAATTATTTCAATTTAAAGTTCACCGAACACCGAACTATTATTACAAATTGATTGGCCGACGAAGGAGGAGGAGAGAAAAAGAGTAAGAAAAAGCAATGGACGGAAAAAGAGTCGAACAATTCTCTTCAAATGGCCGCGCTACAAACGATTCAATTCAAAGCAGATACCGATTCATTGGATTTTCTTGCAAAATGTGTAATAAAATTTTCGATATTTTTATGCGGTGGCTTCCGTTCGCATCCATTCTTCGTTCTTTGTTGCTGTTGTTGTTGTCCGATGGCAAATATTGGTCGAAAATCAAATAATTTATTATGTATTGTGATAGACGGTATTGTTGGTGATTTGAGATTCTTTCATTTCGTTTTTTTTTTTACTCCCGCCTGTCGAACATAAACAACAATTTTTATGCCATCCTGAAAAATTGGCGCTACTGTTCAATATAGCAAATGTGTTTACCGTCAATATCGATTGGTTTTTGGCTTTCGCCATTTCTCTTGGATGGCTTGACTGAAAGGATCCTTTTATCGACACCAAAAACAGCATGTTTTCCCTCCGCTCCAGTCAGAATAAGTTATGTAATTTTGTTTTTTTTTGCTGTATCTCTCTCTCTCTCTGTCTTGTTGGGGTTGGCACTATGATTTTTGGTTTTTCGCATCTAAATGTGCACGGCATGCACGAAATTACAGTTTGATTGTGAGAAAATGATGGAGAGAAGAGCAGAAGGAAAGAACCCATCGTTCATGATTTTGTTCACATTTACACTTTCAAGGCGCCACAATCTATATATATATATATATATATATTGTGTCAAACGACAGCGGAATCACCAAGAGACTCGAACATCACAAGATGAAGCAGGTTAAAACCTTTTCTAGACATGCACACACACACACATACACAAGAGATTCACCTCATCGGCACAACCGAAAATTCAACACATTTTATTCTTTTTATGTAATTTTCTCTGTTCGTCTACCGCCTTGTGGTCCTATGTTGCTCGTAAATTTGATTCGACGAATTTTTCATCATTCCCTTTTCACATCCACGCACGATCAAAGCAACATTTCACCTCTGAATGAAGCCACAAATGAGTAAATTGATGCTTCCATTGTGCTTGCGAAGAGAAGATATAGATAGACGAGAAAGAAAATAAAAGAACGAGTGAACGAACGTTGTGTTTCGCGGAACTTTTTCCAACGATTTTAACTTTTCACCAAACACACCTGTATCACACCGAACGTCACAATAACAAAATCAAATAAAATTGTTTGGGGAAAAACAATAAACGCTATTGAATTGCAAACTCTGAAAAATGACGAGAAAATAAATGGCGGCGAAGAGAATGTATTCCGAGGGGAAATGGGTGAACGTTGAATGGTGAACAGTGACGAAGACGACGAACGTACGGAACGTTTCTATCTGCCACATTACCATTCACAGTTTGCTCTTCGTGTTGAGCAAATGTTCACTTTTCACACATTTCACTTACTAAGTTTTCATCGTATAAGCTCAACGGCAGCTGCTTGCAAATTCTTGAATTTGAAGATTAAACATTCCGGACATTGTAACACATACAGAGGCAGGCAGAACATTTTCACTTTTTTTCCCGTTCTGAAGTTCAACCATCTTCAAAATTTGCTATGTAAACTTCTGATACACTAACTCATATTGCTAGAATCAGTATTTTTTCAAGAAAGTGCAAGATTCACCTCCTATTTGTTCTACAATTTCGTGTATTGAGTGGTCGAAAACCGAATTCTTCGCAATGAAAAGAATTTTGTTTGGAAATTGTTTCATTAGCCAGAGATTTAATTTACATTCCACTAAAAACATTCAGTTTTGGCGAATAAATTTCAAGGTTTTCTCGTGCTTATAGCGCCAATAACTTAAAGCTTATTTAATAATTTCAATTTATTTTGTTTGTTATTTTATTTGATACCCTTGTTGTTTTTAAGTTAGTTAAAAACTTAAAGTTTTATTTGCACCTTTATTCGGAATTCGTAGTCAATTTTCAAACAAAAACTATGATCGCAAGTATGAATTTTATGAAAGTATTTTTTATTCTATGAAAAGTTAAATTCATGAAATTGATTGACATCCTTTTGAAATGTTCCACTTGCATTGTGTCATCTGTTTTTGACTTGTGACTGAAACAGGAAATGAAGAGCAACAAAAAAACACCAAACCGACAACACTAATTTATGAATGGTTGCATGCGAATAATTAGTTGGATGACGATGAAGCGAAAATATTTTGCAATTTGTGCACAAGTTTCTTCCTCCATACGTTTCGTGTGTTAAATTTTTTGTTTGAGAGTGAGCGAGAGAGGGCGAATTACCGTGATAATGTCAGCATTCAACAAAATTAAAAGTTTGAAATTGGTATTCTGATTATAATGCATGTGCTATCTGAAATGATTCTAGGCGTAGAGAAAAAAAAAACCTTGACATCATAAATAGTTTACATAAAAATTCAGCTTTTCCTCCCCAGCGTGTTTTGTTCTAACGCAGTAACATAGTTATGGCATTGTTCAACGTTTTTTATGCGAGAATTTGCTGTAAAAATTATGAATTTTTTTTCAACTTCGGCCCAGGGAGATCGTATTGCTAGTTGTTTGATGCTCGAATGGTGCAGAGATATCCGCGCTTGTCAAGTGCCGAAAACCGTGTTCAGTTAGTGTTGGTTGCATAATCCGAACGAAAGAAGAAAAAAATAAAGCAGACAGTGATCTGAGCGCTTTAACAAAAGAAAGGGCAAACACGTGTATGAATGCACATAAAATGAACAGCACTTTACTTTGCCTAGTTATAAAAGCCAGTGCCGTTTTTTTTTCTACCATGTTGTTTGTTGATTTATCACCCCCACAAAAAGTGTACGCATTCTCGAGTTATGTTCATTTTTATCAAGTCTGTTCTCCCTCTCCCTCCATCTCTTTCGCTCTGGTTTTTTTCTTCTTCTCATTTTTTGCTTTTCATTGTGCACTGATAATATTTCAGATGTCGAAATATAAATGCTTGAGTTTTTGTGCGCTTGCACTTTTGCACAATATGAAGCTGCATTTTTGCTGCTTTCGTGTGGACGCGCCCCGTGCACAATCGCGCTCACGATATGAATGAATGCACGTAACAAATGAACACACGTGCTAAAAAGAGAAAACAAAATAAACAGAAAACAGAAAAGAGAAGGAAAAAAACGCGGAGGAAAAACAAAACCCATCGCACAAAAAGCATTAAAACATTTATGCGTTTTTATTTTCGCATGTGCTTCAGTGCACGCAGCAATGTTTGTATTGAATGCATAGAACCATTTGTTTATAATCGCTCACACAAACACCTAACTATGCAATGGCGTTTCGAGCAGCTCGAGAAAATAACATTTTCAGAGTGCGGGTGCGAGTGTGTGTGTATGTGTGTGCTAGATATTTCGCAACACGATTCGTATGCATGTACTTAACGGCATTATTTTTCCGCTTTTTACAAGTGAAGCGCATACACACAAACACACAACGAGCCTCCCACTCTCCGATTCAAAGCTGATCAATTTCTCATCCCGCACACGCCCAGCCGCCGTCGCCGCCGCCGCTCGGGGTTGTTTGTTTGCGCTTTTGCTATGAAAATAGCCCAATCGTAAATGCAGCACACAACCAAAAGCTTGTAGTCAGCGTGATCGGTTAAAGTGAAAACGGCATCGACATAAAGAATCCATGGCATTAAATGGCAACTGAATGAATTGAAATAGATAAAAAGCGATGAGTAGAGTGACATTACAGCCAATGTTCCATTATTGTATTAGATTGCGAGCGACGAAATCGTCTTATCGCACTGTATATTGAAATGATATGCCCCATTTTCCCTTGCTCTGCGTTCGTGCTTTCAATTCATTCGGTTGCATCGCAAAAATTGCAATTGCAAAAGACAATGGTAATAAAATTTTACGATATGCAGCAAAATATACTCGCATTCAACTGCTGTAAGACTGCCGATTTGCATTGTCGGTTTGCTGTTGTCGCATCGAAAGCGCAAATGCCGGGGATTAAAGTTTTAACGTTTAGTCTGGCGGATTTGACTAAGTGTTGTCTCTGGTTTCTAAGCAGATTGATAGCAAACTCGATATCAATCTGGGCGAAAACGGAAAACAGCCATCGCATTCATCGCAGACAAAGGGAAAGAGAGAATAAAAGTGTCATTAGCTGCTGTTTACATTTGTTATGAGTTTCAGGGGGGAATTTAATGCGCTCATAATATTTCGTTCCGTTGTAGATGCTCGGTGTCGGTGTGCACGATGGTGCGTGTGCTATTGATCATACCTTTTTCCAAGAACATAGTATCTGCATGAGCGTACATTAAGCAAATGGAAAACGGCACATAAATATCATCAAAAGTTTACAATTGCATTAATGCAGGTTCGA